CTAAAAGGTACTTTCTCATGTCTTCTTCTTATCATGTTAGATTACGTCATTAGGTATTTTCTTGATTGAGAGACAATTTCGTTTACTTATTCTTGTCTTAGAATAATTTTGAATCTCGATCTTACTAATATGCTTCTCATATGGATGACATTCTCTGCACCAATTACGAATATTGTACTTAATTCGGCGTTACTCATGTTTGAGGATAAAAGAAATTTAGTAGTCTTTACTTTTATTATTTGTACGCGTTGGTTCCTTTGATTTTTAAAGTTTGTCGCTTTAAAACATAAGTTTAGTCCCTTTGCAGCTTTTACAGAGACTAAAACTCAAGTTATCTTCACTCATAAGGCCAAATTATTAGTTTTTTTGTGTTTGTGGAAAAGTTGCAAATTCTGCAAGTTTAGGCCTTAACTCTCTCTATTGGAGAGCTTTATGTTCCGCTTTGTTTTTAAGCTATCTAGGTTGTGTTTGGGAATTGGGACAGCGGTAGGGAAATCACGTGGTAGTTGAAAATCCCACGTTCACAAAAATAAACAAAATAAATAATATGTAAAGAAAATAATAAATTCATTTCATCATATTTTGGATCGTAGTTATGAAATTTAAATACCCAGAATTGATTTCTTTGAACTTCTGATATTAATTTCAGTTCTTACTTGCTTCGCTGTTTGACCTCTCTTCTCGAGGCAAGATGATAAGTGGCTTTTGTATGAACTGTGAAATTTGAATTTATTATAAAAGAATTTTCATTTTCAGAGGGTTAAGTACTCCTAGTGTAAGCAGAAGTGTTGTTGGTCTTAATTTCTCCGGAAAGGACAAGTCTACTGGTGCTAAACCACCAAGGAGACTCTCTGTTCCTGTCAAAGCCTCTTCCTCTCCAAACCCAAAGTTGATTGGCAACATTACCCCAATCTCAGATACCAGAAAAGTTAGGTATGGTAATGATGACCAAGGGCCTCAAAGCAGAAGTCAAACACCCGCATCTGACATTCCCAAAACTCACGGCCGAATGAAGTTCAATCTCATTTCTTCCTCTTCATATTGGCTAAACCAGATCCAGCTCTCTGAATCTGCTGCTAAGCACTCTGTTTCACTTGGATTCTTCAAACTGGCTTGGGAAGCAAGATGTGAGGTAACAATGTCTATCAGTAGACATTGGGTTTTTTCCTTTTTTATCTTCTTCACTTGTTTTTGTCTGCCATATTATCTTTACGGATTGCAATTTGCAACAGAAAACATTATCTTTTCCTTGTTCTTTTATCAATTATAATTGAACCCTTTTCCGTTTCTTGATTCCTTGGTTCAACGGGAACAACCACCATAGCCGTTCCCTAAGATGCAGGACGAGCTAAAATCTTATGTGCAAAGACATCGGCTTGCTGAACTCGAAGAAGTGAAAGAACTGCTTCAAAGCTATCGCATTGCAGAAAATATAGAGCAGAGCCAAGTTTCTGAAAGCATTTCGCAGGTGCTAGAGGAGGAGGGAACTCGATCCTCTGGTGAAGAAGTACACTGCTGTTCTTCATCCATCACGGATACTGAAAAAGTGAAACCCGAACCATTGGAAACGGAATCCACTCGACTTACTCCTGTTAAAACAGAGCAATCAAAGAAGGAAACTGACCAAAAGAATAACCTCGAATCCACGTTGAGAGAAGATCTCAAAAAGAACCCTGCAAATTCAAGACCTGCTTCTGACAGGGGGAGCTCTGGGTTGGTTAAAAAATCAAAGAAGCCAACTAATAAGCAACAGACTAAGAAGGGAAGCAGCGGGGTCAAGACACAACATAAAAAATCTGATGTTATTAAAGGCAAGAGTGCAACAATATTTCTCTTTCAACATTGATGATATTTGTTTCGTTCAGTTAGTCTGAGATTTCATCATCATTTTTTTTCGCAGTTCCAATCAGCCCTACAGGTTCTGAAGAAAATGCACAGGGAAACAAAGAAAATATGGTAACTCACTCTCTAATAAATATAATTTTTGACAAAGTTGTGAAAAGGGGGTTATATGACTAAATATTTTGCTTATTTCACGTGTAGGACGTTCGGTCAACTGATGAGGTCAGTTTGTTGACAGAAGTTTCGTAAACAAGACTGCAGATATTAATGTAATCCTCAAACTTTGCTTACAGTGCTATATGTTTGCCCAGTTTGTCTCTCTATAGGAAAACAGGGTGAAAATTGTTTTCATACCGTTCTGTGCTTCGTTTCTTGATGTGTTATCAAACCAAACTGAATTAAATATTCTGGCTTGTCTTGTCTATGTGCTTTTATAATTATAATATAGATTTCTGACATGTAATTAGCATGTTTAAAATCATTATTTCTTAAATGATAATACGTTAAATGGTACATAATGTTTAAATTGGAATATGATATATGAAGTTTAAATTTGGAATATGATACCAAAATATATGATACAATAATATCGTCCAAAATGAGAAAATTTTAACCTGAACTTAGATTCATTTTAACCATACAATATATTGTCTTTCTCTCCTTAGAAGAAAATTCGTGTTTTCCGACATGTTCTTGAGACTGAAGTTTGCTAATATTTTCTGTTTTTTCAATGGGTTTGATCATAAGTTGTTTACGTGATTTTTATTTATTATAAGAATACGAAAACACAATTTAATTTAAATTATTATGAAAATTTTCAAATTGGGTTTGAACATAAATTATGTCAACGTGATTTTTATTATAAGAATACGAAAACACTATTTAATTTAAATTATTATAATATACAATTAAGGGCAAGTTTGATTTATCATAAAACTGCGTAAATTATTCCCAGATCCGCCATAAACTATTCCTTGCAAAAAAAAAAGTTTTTAAACACGTACTTTATATTATGTTGTATTATATGTATGTGTATAGTAACCATATACAATAAATGCATTACAAAATAATAGGTTTAAATCCTCGTTTGGTCCTTCTATTTGTGTGTCAATCGCAAGTGGGTCATTGTTTTTTTTTTTCGGTTTCAATCGAGTTCATAAACTTGTAAAAATGAACCAATAAAGCCCTCACCGTTAAGTTTTCACTAATGGCGTCTAATTGTAATGACGTGTTTATGATGATGTGCATTGTTTCATTACGTGAAATTTTTATTTAAATTGGCAAAATTAAAAAAGGAATTAGAGATTTGGAAACCACCGCGTCGTTTGCCTCTAGGTTGCCACCATCACTGTTGCAGCAGGTCTGTTGTGCCATCAACCACACTGGACACGGTGGTTCGACCCTTTCACGCACGAGAGAGAGGTTTCGCCGTTCCCGTCGATGCACCCTCCACCATCACGAACAAGGCTTGTCGCCCTTGGTGCCAACCACTTCATTTTCCTTCTGATTAAGTGTAGGTTGGGGAATATCAGGGTGTATACAAGGTTAGTTTACTTGCCTTGCCAACCTCTGGATTTAACAATTCGATACCATTGTGTATTACCTATTAACTTTCTTTCTTCTTTCATTTTAGATATCCAAGGGGCTGTTCGAGAAGTATGGCCCTAAGAGGGTTCTCGATACCCCAATCACTGAGGTCATTTTCCTTGTGCACATTTCGTATCTCTTTCATACTTCATACTTATCCACTCATTTGGTTTGCAACTTATTTACCATCTCCTTCTGTCCCTCCCTTGTATTCGTTACATTGCTTCACTGTATTTAATTTTAGGTAACAATGGTTGCAAATTGGACACATTTGGTACTTCTTGAGGCTCTAACCCTATCCCAGTTTTAGTCTATTAGATATAGTACCATTCAAGAAAGAAAGAAAAAATTCGCACTGAGAAATTCATAAGTATTCAATTTTTGGTTAAAAACCTATATTTAATTATAAGTTGCAACCTTTTTCCGGTTTTGATTCGGAAAGAGAAATTGGGCAATGGTGGGATGAGGATAGAAGGGGAACAAAAAGAAATGGTGAGAGGGGAGTGGAGGCTTTAACTTCACCAAAGAGGGAACTGGAATTGTTCCTGCACGAAAATAACTCTTTTAGTTTGTTTTTTCAACATTGTTATTGTTATCTACACTCTTCGCTCTCTCTATGCTTCACTTTATATTTACTCTGATAGCGTGCAGGGATTAAATATGGAATATAGAAATGGAAGATTATAAAGATACTGATGAAGGGATTGAATATGGAAGATAGAAATGGAATTTGTTCTTCTGAAGAGATGATAAATCTGATAATGGCTTGGGTTTTTTGATGGCAGCAGTAACAACAACTTGAAGACCAGAAACACTATGTTTGCGGAGGGATCCACAAGCGATGGACACAGAGTCGGTCACCACTTCAAGCTTTTCCAAAGAACATCTAGAAGAATGCGCGGTAGTTTCCAAATCTCTCATTCACTTTTCAATTGCCATATAATAATTCTTTTATTTAAATAAAAATTCCACGTAATGAAACAATGCACATCATCATAAACACTTCATCACAATTAGACGCCGTTAGCAAAAACTTAACGGTGAGGGCTTAATTAGCTCATTTTTACAAGTTTATGGACCCGATTGAGACCGAAAAAAAAACGTTGACCCACTTGAGATTGACACACAAATACGACGATCAAATGAGGATTTAAACCAAAATAATATAAGAAAAGGTGTAATTCGTAATAAATTTATTTAGGTTGATAAGACAATAAACAAAGGACTTCTGAAATTATTAGGTCCTTTTTTATGCGAATCAGGTCGAGTCTAAAACAAATAAATAGTCATGCTTAGGTTGTCTTTTTTATTTTAAGGTTATACTCAGATCTATTTTAAGGTTTATGATGATGTGTTTAAGGTTATACTCAGATCTAAAACAAAGGACTTCTGAAATTATTAGGTCCTTTTTTATTTTAAGGTTATTTTAAGGTCGAGTCTAACAAAAGTTATTTTCACACCTAGAACTGTGATTCACCTACGTCGACTTCCCTGTCACAACAGAAGGCTGAAACCAAGATCAACATGCAATGAAAAATAAGACTTCTTAATTTGACTTATATATTGAACCTATTAGACAATAATCCAAATTCAAATTAACACGATTCTATAATACATGAACTGACATTAACAATGCATAGTCTAGGAGTGATAAAACATAAGATAATCCTAACATTCAAAAACAGTAAGGAATACGACATGAAATTCAATAAGTTGGCACAGTGATTCTTGTAGGTAGCAGTGAAACCTGATACATGTCTTCAAAAGCCCACAAATATATGACGGGTGGTCAGCTTAGTCAGCTGTCCAACTTTGCTCCACAATTTCTCTAACTCGTCTATTGTACTCGCGCTTGTTCGTACTAAAAGTTCGAGCTGCTTCTGAATTTGCAGGAGAACTTGAGTTGGGATCACAAAGTAGTGACTGCCACAGTAATGATTACTTTTCAGAAAGTAATTGTAACATGTTAACTACTATATAGCAAACATGCCAAAGACTAGTACCATGAAGTTAGCAATTTAGACATGCACAATTACTTTTCAATAATGTGCAACAATGTCTTATCCATAACAAATGGTGTACACTATTACAATAAGAGAAGAGAATACTGATACCGTCGTCTGTTAAAATCCATAAAAAGAAAAAAAAAGAAAATGTTATAAGAAAATGAAATCTGAACAGAAAAGGTAAAGTAATCTCCTTACAAAGGTTTCCCCATCACAGAGTTGTCCCTTTTACAACTGAGCTAAAACGCCGTTTTCAGACAATAATCAGTTAATTAGTGGTCCATATTCTGAACCACAAGAAACATGAAGAGAGGGAGGGAGGTGGGAAGAGGAATTGAAAATACACTATATCTGAACCACAATGCAGCCTCTTAACAGATCAGACCTTAAAAAATTTCTTACAAGCCCCTTGTCCCCACAAGAAAACTTGGAAAACGAACCTGTTCTATTAAAATATTTCACAAATTTAAAGGCTCACAATTCTGGAGACTACAACTGACAGTAACGAGGTCAAACATTTAGAAGGGATATGAAAGGACTGACAGACAATATAAGAATCATTAAAATTGAGAGCTACTAGATCAAAACAAAGTGCCTTGAAATCTGTAAAGAGAATAATAAAATGAATAATCTTTAAAAAAAATCATGTTCCTGAGTTGCATTCTCCAATTTTTTGTTGAAAGTGTGAAATTAATGGTGTGAAAGGGAAACCCAAGTTAACAGTGTTGGCAGTGAATCAAGTCATGAATCAGCAAACAGAAAAGGACATTTAAAACGGAAGGTAATGACTTGAAGTAGAAAGCACTTCTAAGACAGAAAGACACAAGTAATTTAAATGGCCACATGATCTTGCAGTAATTTGTGCAAAATGTTGGTGTGGTCATGCATAGGTCAAGGCAAACAAAACCAGACCTCAAGTTGGGAACTAATTGTGCAAATATAAGTGTTTCCCATCTTCTTATTGTAATATATTTACAATGGAATAAAAATAAATGTAGAATTGTTAACTATATTATACAAGATAGTACCTGGATAGAAGTGAGTATTGCAGCTACATCGTATATAGGACTCCATTGATTTTGTAATATATCCAAACAAATACTTCCATCAGCATAAACTTCCCATAGAAGAAAAACGACATTAGTAGCTAGATAGGTAATTTATGTATAAGAAGATCAATCATTTCCACCTTAAACTTACTGTTTGGATGAAACATTCGAGAGACAAATCGTACAGTCGGTGGCTTGTTAGGATAATCCTCAGTAAACTGGAGAGTCAACTTAAACGTGCCTAAATAATTCAAAACGTGAAGACATTGCTGTGATAGGGTTAAGAGAAAAATGTGATTTCCAAGTATGTGAATAAAATTTATTCACTATGAGCATCCAATTTCATTTAATATTCTAACAAAATATCCCTCAGTAGTAAATGTAAATGCAACCTCTAATATTAACGTAACAAGAACAAAAGTCTTATTCCACTGAGTCATCACCTCTGACAGAAACATAAACCAATATAAAAAGAAACAATATAAAACTAACGTATAACAATATAATAAGCAGAAATTAAAATTAGTACTGCCAATCAGAAAGCAAAAAGAAACAATGGTAGCAACGAAATTGTCCCAAGATAGTAGCCATGGTAAAAGCAAGCTCATCTAAAATAAGCTAACCAGTAGCGTTGCATACAATGTAAAAGATGGCTAAATAACAGAGATGACACATGCATAATTTTTTTTCCAAGATATAGTAAGAGGTCAGACTCACCTCCATCCCATGGAGTGTCATCAGGACTGCAATCCAAAGCAGACAAGAAAGCAGAAATTGCTTATCCATCCATACTTTAACAAAGTGGGGAGTAATATAAAACAAAACGAACTGACTATAATATATAAGTAAACCGCACAGTGGATCTTCTATCCAATTCAACTCACCCAAATATGACAGCATTCCACAGCATTATATTGTTATCCTGAGGGGCACCACTGATTCCTGCAGGTGGGTCCTGTTGCAGCCTCTTGAAATCTCTCATGAGCCTCTTCCTAGCAGGAGTCGACATTGCTACCACCAAGAAAAACTAACAGCCACAACAGATAAAACATGAAAGACTTCAATTCTCTTTCCAACAACAACAAAAATAAAGGAAAAAACCTAGTTCACACACACACACAACTAAAGTTTCTACAAAACATAGCAACAACAAAAACAAACCCCAAAATTAAACAGAAAAAAGAAAAAAGAAAAAAGAGTGGGAATTTCCAAGGAACATTGAAGGGGGGCTTTGATGCAGATCCACCCTGTGTACCAATCATCCAGCGTTTAGGCCATAACAAACGCAAATTCAAAAGAAAAAATGAATAAAAAGAATGATAAAAAAGCGAAGTAATTGAAAGTGAAGGTAAAATGAGAAGAAATCGAGTCACCGAAGCATGTGAGTCTGAAAGATGGCGAGAAAGAAAAGCAAGAGCAATAAAAGATGGAGGATCGTGGGATCCAAACTGTTGGCGGCAGAGAAAAAGTTATTGCTTCAATCTCACGACATTGATTGGCAGAGCTTAGAAGCGTGCCGTAACTGTGCCTATATCTGTCTCTGATCACCCGTTTAAAATATGTACATATTTTGGTCGAATGTTTCACGTACAAGAACTTTAAGTTCAAAAAATAAAAATAAATAAACATTTAAACACATTCAGCTTTTACCTTTTTACTAATAATAAACATCATCTCCCATTTTACCTAAATTAATACTTAATCTTAATAGGTATTCTCATTAACTTGATATTGATAATTAACTAAATATATCTACATAGTTGATTTTGAATGTTAATCCCTCGTTTCTTTTTAGAATACTAAAATCGTGTAAAATAAAAGCTTCTAAAAATAAATAAATAAATAAAAAGCACACAAACCCTTACATCCAAAAGCTTAGCTAAGAACATGTAACGAAGATTGAAGTGATAAAACGAAAATCATGTCATCCTCTATTGAGTTTTGAAGTTACAAGTGTAATTGTTGTATAATCAAGATTGATAAATAATTTGTTCTTGAATTATTTTGATAGACTGACATGAACTTTTCTGAATTTTATAATTTTAAGCTTTTATGAGGACTTGAAACTGTTTGTTTGTAGTATTTTGATAATTAACATTATTAGTGTTTTTATTTTTGTTTACTTTTATCTTTTATTAGAATTTTTATTATTATTTTTTAGATAATTAAAGTTTTTATTTAATAAATTGGGAAAATAAATATTTTGTTCTTATTTGTGAAAATATTATAAGTGAAAACTAGTAAAGATGAGAAAATATCTTAATAAATATCTAACGGATTCAGTTATTTCAATTACAAAAATTAAACAAATAGGAATAGCTGAAGATTGAAAAATATTTTAATAGAATGAGTTGAAACTTAGTTCCTTTAATAAAAAAAAATCTAATACAGATTTAAGGTTAGCAAACTTGCTTAGACCCTATAGATAAGAGGTTTGAGAGTTCGAAAAATATGCAATTAGAGCATAGAAAACTAACTTTAAGAGATATATGACACACGCTTATGCTAGAAGCTAAAGCTAGAGACATTGTTCATTATTGTATTCTAAATATTGAGAATGCATATGAATAACTAATTTTCTTATTCGGGGTTGAACATAATGTTTCTTAACTCTTTATGATTTATACTATTCAATATATTTCTTTTCCACCACTTTTGTATTATTTTATTGTTCTTAAGTGCATGATTATGATTATCGTGTACATATGTGCTTATTGACAAATAGTTTGAGAAATCTAAATTACATATATGTAAAACAACTAATAATATATAACATTAGAATGTTTAATGGGAACTTATAATAAAAATTACTAAAACATTATGTATTTTATTATTAAAGTTTAGATATTACTAAAACATTATGAATTTTATTATTAAAATTTAGATTTATTACATTATTTATTACATGTGCTATAAATGTTTAATAGAAATTAGAAATATATTGCTTAATATTCTTGCATGAAATTAGATCATGCTACCATATATTTTATTAAATCAATGTAATTATTTTCTATAATCTTAGAATTATTTTATAACTAAAAATCAATATTTTTCGTCACTTAAAAATATTCTTAGTTTTAATTAGTGGATATATATATAATTTTTCTCATTAAAGTAAGTCTTTATAAGAAATGATACATGAACGTTCTCAACATGTTACTTGTAATGAATATTCAAGATGACAAAATGATGGGACCAGTGCCATATTTTTTTAATTCTTAAATATGCCTTACTTATTTATATATATATATATATATATATATATATATATATGGGTTTGTTAACGCGAGTACGCCTTTAATAATTTTTATTCTTATAACTAAAAAAAAAATCCTAAACCCTTAGTCACCTCCTTTATTCCTCTGAACCCTTCCTCTTTCATTTCTCTCACTCCAACCTTTTCTCTGTCATCATCTCTAGTGTAATCTCAATTGAAAAAATCATAAACAAAAACAATTTGCCTTTGTAAAGAGTTGAGTCATTGACATATTCACCTTCATGCAAAGGTTCATTTAAGATATCTTCATTATACTTGTGAAAATTAGATAAAATTAGATAAGACAAAAATTATAAAATGAAAAGTCACTATAAAATCATTTTTTTGTAAGAAATTGTTTAACAAGGAATATTTTTGATATTTTTCAGCCAATTCCTTTATGCTTGTGAAAATTGGATAAAATTAGAGAAGACAAAAATTATAAAATGAAAACTCATTATAAAATCATTTTTTATTTTTTCGGTTGGGCTACCATAGGATGACAAAGAAAATGTTGAAGTGAGAGAGATAAAAGAGAAAGGGTTGAGAGGAATGAGGGAGGTTAGTAAGGGTTTGTTTTTTTTTTTTTGAGAATGAAAATTATTAAAAAATACCCTTAACTTTAAATTTAGAATCATGATATATAAGGGTATTGTTGTTTACTAAAATTCAGTATACATACCAACTGAAAAAACAAGCTTACGCGCGTAAGCAAACCCATATATATATATATATATATATATATATATATATATATATATGTGTGTGTGTGACATTCAATGAATTTAATTTCTTATGATGCAATATTAACCGGGATGGCTACAATTCAATTATTGTCAAATTTAATTATAATCCATAAATTTCAATTACAACTTAATATAAACCAAGATAATTTAATTTCAATATAATTCTATACATTTTTGTTTTTCATTTTTATATTATACGAACATAATTTTATAATAACACTACAAATAAAACTTAAAAATAGTTGTAATTATAATATTCTCCTTTTGCATTTTTTATCCTAGTCACTGTGGGATATTCAAGCAACATATCATCCTCTTCCTTCACAACTTTCCATAAATTTACTTTCTCTAAATAAGTTTACATTCTTAACGTCTGTAAATCATAGCTTTCACCATCATAAAGTGGAATAACAACTTATAAGAATTTTTTTACCATTCTACAAGTCTCATAAAAATTTGACTTTGATACCATTGTTAGAATTTGTAGGATTTTGAAGATACGATAAATAAAAAAAATGTTCTATCACCGCCATTCATGTTGACTTCTCGGTTTTCCGGCTTCAATAAGTAATAATTAAAAGTTTTCTTATCACCGCGATTCAATTTCAGCTCTTCAACATTTTGGCGAGGAATATAGGGACTGGTTCCGAAGTCTGCGTAGTTTGTGTGCAATGGTTACCCATTGGCTAATTATTTATATATTATTATAGTTGTGTTGTGATTGGCTCCTCATGGCAGTTAACATGCAATTCTGGGTTTTCGAAAGACAATATATGAATTGTATATGTTGATGATATAGAATATACCTCATGATTTATGGACGTGATGAATATGTCAAGAATACCAAGTATCTGTCTACTCTCAGTCTTCAAGAGCTCCTTCTTGCTAATAATTTAAGCAAGAGCTCCTACAGCTCTCCCATGTCAGACTTGCTTTCCAGCCTCCATCTTTAAGGTACCATTTTCATTCTCTTTATTTTTCTTCTAAGTTGTAACTTTTCCTGTCTCCAATTCTGTTTATTTGAGTTCGTGCTCATACATTTGAATGTTGCCGTTAGCAGCAATGGGGATTTTTTTGTGTTGTGTGAAAGTTGAGCAATCTACAGTGGCTATAAAAGAAGGATTTGGACGATTTGAGAAGGTGCTTCAGCCAGGATGCCATTGGATGCCATGGTTCCTTGGGAAACAACTTGCTGGTCATCTCTCTCTTCGACAACAACAATTGGATCTTCGTTGTGAGACCAAGACAAAGGTTTGTTTTTGCCTAACACTTTAACTATAACCAAATATTTTAAGGCATTTCGGCCTTTAATCACCATGAATACTTTCATTTTGGCATGGAATTTTTTTATTAAGTTTATTTGGTTGTCATTCTCTGCTAGAGGGAAGTCCTGTAGGAAAAGGCTGAGGGAGGAGACCTATAAAAACTGTAGACAAACTAATGAAAAGGATTTCGAGATCAATGATTAGTCTAAGACATGAAAAGGCTTGATTTGTTGTTGTATGTTCGTTTGTCTTTCAGTCTAGTGCTGGTTACTTTCAGTTATGTACGACATGTTATGCTGTGAATATTTATTATATTTTCCAGTGAATTAAATGTTTGTCTGCTTACAGGATAATGTCTTTGTTAATGTTGTTGCCTCAATTCAATATCGTGCCCTGGCTGAGATGGCCATTGATGCTTTTTACAGACTTAGCAATACAAATATCCAAATTCAGGCTTATGTTTTTGATGGTATAATCCATAATATTCTGTAACATAATCCTGTAATAAGTGGTTTAAGCATATTTGATTAGCTAAGGTGAAATTTCTATTCTCATTGTAGTGATTAGGGCAAGTGTTCCAAAGCTGAACTTGGATGATGCTTTTGAGCAGAAAAATGAAATTGCCAGAGCTGTGGAAGAAGAGCTTGAGAAGGTTGTTTTTAAATGTAAAAATATTATTTACTTATAAGATGAACTGTGAATTTATGTTAATTTGAATATTATGCTTTATTGTCTTCGTAGGCTATGTCAGCTTATGGGTACGAAATTGTTCAAACACTGATTGTTGATATAGACCCAGATGATCGTGTGAAGCGAGCTATGAATGAAATCAATGCTGGTATGTTATATGATTCTTGTATGTTATACGAGCAATCTTTCCTTTGGTCATGGAATGATTTATATTTTTTTGCTGCTTTTTGCCCTTTATCAGCTGCAAGATCGAGGGTGGCAGCTAATGACAGGGCAGAGGCGGAGAAGATCTTGCTAATTAAACGAGCAGAGGGTGAGGCTGAATCTAAATATCTCTCTGGGTTGGGTATTGCTCGCCAACGTCAAGCAATTGTGGATGGATTGAGAGACAGTGTGCTTGGATTCTCAGTCAATGTACCTGGGACGACTGCAAAAGATGTTATGGACATGGTCCTTGTCACTCAGTATTTTGATACTATGAAAGAAATTGGCGCTGCCTCCAAGTCTTCTGCTGTCTTTATTCCACATGGACCTGGTGCTGTTCGCGATGTTGCCACCCAAATTCGTGATGGCCTTCTTC